GCGCACGCGTGCCCGCACTGTGGCGCCGCCTTCGAGGACGCCGGCGCGTGCGAGGCGCACGTGGCCGACCACTTCCTCGCCACCTCCACGGAGTTCGGCTGCGCCAGCTGCATGAAGCTGTTCGCACAGCCCGACGAGCTGCAGAAGCACCTCATGGACATGCACGCGCACCACCTCTTCCGCTGCGCGCTGTGCCGGGACGTGTTCGACTCCAAGGTGGCCATCCAGGTACGCGCTACTAACAAGTGCGCAGGGAGCGATTCAGTCGACACGTGTTACTCCTCAATATACCGTGTTTTCCGTGAATGTCCTTCCAATTGTAGACGCCGAAGTTAATTTCGCGTGATTAAAGTAAAATGGATGAGGAGAGAGCTAAGATAGGTCGTCTCTCACGCGTACGTGAACATTGGAGTTCGGTAGACACATTTCCGCCGTTTTAGCATCTTTGCATGGAGGAATTTTGCATTTCCGAGTGAAGCGTCTATTGCAAAGCATTGGTTTAAATGGGGGTATTTACGCGAGCACCACAATGACTGTTAGGTGCGCCTTCTGCCACTAGAAACGCTGACTCACTCCTGCGTCACTTTATCACAACAGTTTTAATAGCAGCCGTCGCACTAGGCCATTCGTCACTGTGCTTAACTGTTAACATGTACAATGCCTTGCGACCCAGAGCATTGTTTAACGAAGCTTTCCTTTCCCACGCGCAGTGGCGCCGATCGGTGGCTGATTTGATGGGTCCCGATACTTTTTGATAGAGCAGCCGACAGAAGGCGACCTTAGGCTTCAATGCATGCAACGTGCATTGTGGTAGACAAGTTGTAGTCCTATAGTAATATTGCGTATCGCTTTCAGCACCGTCCTTAGGCGAAAATTGTCTAGAAGCTGAAGTAGCTTGCCATCAGCTCAACATCGACTTCTTTCTAAAAATAAATAATACATTAATATTTCTGAATTAAAATTTTGTTTTAATTAGATTACATAAAAAATGCATGCACATTGTGCGCTATATTCATTTAAACATTTCCAGCTTAACCTACTTCATACTTGAACTATCGCCCCTTGATATCTCATCATTCGCTTCAGACCACTACGCTCAATCTGTACAGCGGCGTTTGCCTCCGTAGGTGCACTTCGCGGTGAAGCACAGCAGCCAGTGCACGCTGTTCCGCTGCACGGCGTGCCCGCCCGCGGCCGCCGCCGTCTTCCGCTCGCAGCTGGACTTCGCGTTGCACGTGCGCGCGACGCACGCGCCGCCGCCCCCGCCGCCGCCTCCGCCGCCC